TTTTCTACCAAAAAAGCCCTGGAAATAACCATAAGTGAACTCTCAAAGAACAAGTTGTTTTGCTTTTGTGTTTGTCTCTTGCTACTTTATTCATCAGGTGCCAGTATGCTGGTTACTGCAATCATAATTTAGGACTGCTCTGTTTCTTCTTTATTTTGCAGGTTATCTCTCTAATAGTATTCATTTTCCTCTTGTTATTTGCAGGCCTAAAGACTTTGAATGGAAGTAGAAGGGAGAGTTTAAAGGGATAGGACGTGGCGCCTACATCTCTCCTGAGCACTGGACCTACTGGGATGTTCGCAGTTCAGTTACATGCATAAACTTTTAGAAATTTGCTGTAAATAGTGGAAATGTGTTTTGATATAGACATTATTGCTTGGCCAAAATGAATAATCTTCAATAACATCACGAAGCTGTGACCACAGACTTTTTTTTTTAAAGTACCACCTTGATTTGGTAAGTAGTGACAATAAAACATGTTTTCATAAAACAGTTTTGTGATATGTGCACATTCATCTGTATATGAAACCTCTTTCTTTGGCCTTTGGGTGAACTCATTTCTGTGGCTTAGTTGCTGTGTGATGCACAGAAAGACTGAGCAAATGTGCTGGCTGTTAAATTGGCACATTCCCGTTGAAGCCTACAGTTGACTGGTGATCTCACAGCAAATTCCAGGCACTCTGTTCCAGCAAGGGCTTTCACACAGGCATCCCTTGTTGGGTTGAGAAGCAAGCACTAAGTAGATGGTTGGCTTCGTCCACATTAGCCCAAGTCAGCTGGAGGTGGCTGGAACGAAGGCTGTTCCGTCAGGAGGCAAAGCGAGGGGTACTCGGATGCAGGAGCCCCCATCTCACTCATCAGCTGTCTCTATACGAATAGCTCCAACCTTTTATTGGGTAGATAGGCATTTGCAGATAGCAATGCCTGTAATGGACTGTGAACAGAGAAGTTAAATAAACATTAAAGAATTTACATTAAAATGCAATCTGCTGGGGCAGAAATGCATCCATCCCAAAGAAGTGGTGGGTATGTTGAGATAGGTGCTTCAGCTGTTCACCCTGTGCAAAATGCTTCATGGTTATTTTTAATTTCGTAGACCATCTGGGAAAGTCTGTTAACTCTCCTAAGGTTAAAGAGTGACTAGATTTTGGAGGCAATTTTGAAACTGTACATCTGTCTCCTACTATTCTTGGCAAAGAGATAAAATGCTAAATAAAACACGATGAAATCAGTTAAATGAGGGTTGTTAGTGATTTGTTACTGAGGTGCCGTGAGCAGTTTTCCTATGATGTCAGTCATTTGTTCACATAAAGTTAATGCAGTTTATCAAGACTAAATTGTAGGATTGAATTCTAACGCTATAAAAGTCATTCTGAAAGCTCGTAAGAGATATTTTGGCTGTTATTCCAGTTTCTTTAAACACATTTATGTCTTGTACTGCGAGACAAAAAGTGAAAGTTGAAAGCTCATACACAGTGAATTCAGCCTTGTTGGGGGGAAAATTCAATCTTGTCGCAAGAATGTATGGCATTATTTTATTTATTATACTTAATGATATTTTAACCCTAATTTCTCTAACAAAAGATTCAAGGCGGGTTAATATATTCATACCGATGGTAAGAACATTAGAGAGAGTGCGTATTCTTTAGCCGTGTAAAACCAGGAAAAATTAACTTTTTATCGACCTTTAATACAAATGAGCTCAGGAGCTTCAGGCAGCACATCCTCCCAAGCATGTTTATTCAAAAGGCTAGTTGAGTCCAGTGGGACTTACTTCCAACTAAAGCAGGCATGAGATTGTAGTCACCGTGCTATTTATCAGTACTTAAAATTCACCCTTTCCCCCTCAGCTGTCATTTGCAGCTCTTCTAGTTCCTTTTTATTTTAGATATTTTATGCACTACTCTCCTGTGTGTTAAGCAGAACTGTTTATAGAAATTAAAACACACAAAATACAGTACTACACAAATCCCCAATCAACAGCATAAAAACTAAAAGCCATAATTAAAATTGGGGGAGGGGAGATGTCCTATGTGGGTCTTCTAGACCAGGCAAACCTTTGAAAGGCGCAGGAAGGCTCTTGGCCGAGGGTCTTCTGCAGTTCAGGGGCTCCTGCTGACAAGGTCTTTGTATGCGTCTTGGCCACATGGATCAGCAAAACGTGACTTCCTGCCGTAGAGTCCCCTTGACCAATCTTGGAGCACAGATGGGACCATAGGTGGAGAGGTGGTCCTTCAGGTGCTTTGGAGCCATGTCCCTCTGAGCCCCTGTTGCGTTTTTATTTAGGTAGTTTACCGTGCAATCCTGAAAACACTCCTACACTAAATAGATGAGTAAGGTTTTGAGTAGACCTGCATAGGATTTCTTTCATATATTGTGCTTTTCTGTGCAGGGTCAATTGCACACACAGGGCCTCTGACGAACATTAAAATTACATTTTAAAAATGTTTTCCCATGCTCTCTTCCAACTGATTATCACAGTAGGGAATCACCAGCACTTTCAGATTAGCAGTGAATGTGCCTCTTTCAAAATTGGCCGGAAACCAGTTTTGTTGCAGACCTCTGTCAACAATCTCGCTGTTGAATTTTGCCCCAGCTGAAGGTTCCAAACGGTCTTCAAAGGCAGTCCCATATAGAGGGTATTGCATTAAGACAGCCTGGATGGGCACAGAATATGAGTGAACGTAGCCAGGTCATGGTTATTGAGGAATGGCTGCAGTTGCAGTACCAGTCAAAGTTGGTTTAAGGCACTGTGTGCCACAGAGTAATCCTATTACTTAATTGATTCCTTGTGACAGAAGTAAATGTTCTGCTTCAAAGAATAAGCTTCCATTAGCTGGGCTTCTTTGGACTGTTATACAAAGGTCAAGAGTTTTCGCAAGACTTGCTGCCAGCCAGTGGTCCCTCTTATGCGTGCTTCCCATCTCTGGCTCCTCAAAGATAGCTCTTCAAAGCAGTCTCTTTGTCCTTAGTGTCAATGTTAATCCTACATAAAACACTCCAAACTGTTTATTCAAATATTTGCATGGCTCCTAGACCATTTAGAACACTGGGGTTGCATTGCACATAATATGCAAAGTACTGTAAATAATTCCCTTTCAGTTTTTAATTTAGGAGCGACTCCCGCTGACCAAAGTAGATGATATCATTGCATGCTGTCTACTGCCAGTCAAAGACTGTAGTTTATGCTACTTTTGATTTTGTGGTACAATATGCTTAGCTAATGGACCAGATACTCATCTAAAGTAAACCTTCATCACTCCAAAAGCTCCACTAGCTGCAAGATTAGCTCATGATTTTTGAGGCCTTGTTTAAATACACCAGCGGAGATCTTGGACAGGATATTTAGTATGACTTTTGAGAGTGTAATTATAGGAATTTTACCAAAGTTGTATTCAGCTGAAACGGGTACTGAAAAAGATAGTTTGAACCAGCATCTTACTTGTTAAGCCTAAGGTTTTTAATGTGTCTAAAGCTGCCCTTTCACCATGCGGACTGAAACACATACTCTCTAAAGCACTGACTACATAGGATGGTTGGGTGTCTGTGGCTGGAATTCCTGGCGTGTAGAAAAGGTAAAGGTAAGGGTTCCCTTGCTCGAAAGCCAGTCGAGTCCGACTCTAGGGTTACGGTGCTCATCTCCGTTTCAAAGCCGAAGAGCCAGCGCTGTCCGAAGACGTTTCCGTGGTCATGTGGCCGGCATGACTAAACACTGTTACCTTCCCACCAAAGTGGTACCTATTTATCTACTTGCAATTTCTTGCTTTCGAAATGCTAGGTTGGCAGGAGCTGGAACTAGAGACGGGAGATCACTCCGTCATGCAGCACACCTGGGTCTTGAACTGCTGAACTACTGATCTTCCACAGCCTGCAGTTCAGCATCTTAAACAACTTGAGCCACCGCAGCTCCTCGTCCTGGCGTGTAGTTTGGCCTTTAAAAGTGTATGGGGGCAGTGGCAAGTCTAGAACTAGGCTGTGTGCTGAGGAAGGGAGGTTTAACTCTTCCTCCCTCCCTGTAACCCAGACGCACACTCCTGGGCCTAACCCAGAAAAGACAAAGACTGGACCTGACTTTTGTTTCCCTGCTGAGACTTAAAGCAGCCCCTGGGAGTTTGGGGTCATTCTTAGTTTGGGAAGGGACATAGGAGAAACAGTTTGCTGAAGGGAACGTTGACTCTCAAAAGTTTATACCCTGGAAAGTCTTATTGGTCTTTAAGGCGCTTCTGGATTCAAATCTTGCTTTTACTGCTGACCACCCCGCATGAAATTCTTTACATTACGTACAGTCTGCCTTTCTCACTGAGACTCAAGGCAGAATTACACAGTGCAAGTCAATACAATCACCAGGACAGGACATCCAATAAGTAATGTAAGATTAGGATGGCTGAAAGCTGGCTTCCCTGGAGCTGCTCTTTAAGGCTAAATAATGTGGCTGGAGTTCGAAACATGGCATTCCAGTGTTGCATGTAGACTGGCCATAAAAGAGGAACTGGGTTTGTGCTCATTTGAAGTTTGGGTTCTACCATCTAGGACACTGTTTCCCAACCTTCACCACCACCAGCCCATCATTTTCCAGGCTTAGAACTAGATGCTCACGTCACGTTTAACTCAATGAGTTAATAGTGAATTCTCAGAACAAGTACTGCAGATGGGGACATTAAAAATAATTCAAAATACCTTACAGAAAGAGCTCAGACCATTCACTAGAATTAAAACGCAGATTAAACTTTGGAACCCTACTGGCCTATTTCTTAACACCAAATGCAAAGGTTATTGTCTGATGCCACCAAGTCCAGTGGCCTGACTTAGTAAGTAAGGCGACATACAACGCCTTAGCAATGTTTCCGAAGGTGCTAATGCTTAGGGTTGCCAGCTTTGGGTTAGGAAATCTCTGGAGATTTGGGGGTGCAGCCTGAAGAGGGTGGTTGGGGAGGGGAGGGACTTCAATGGGGTATAATGCCACATAGACTCTACCCTCTAAAGCAGCCATTTCCTCCAGGGAAACTGATCTCTGTCATCTGGAGATCAGTTACAATTCTGGGAGATCTCCTGGCCCACCTGTAGGTTGCAACCCTACTCAAGCTTGAGCTCCAAGGAGTCTTCAAGGTGAAGGGAATTCTATACCTGTGAATTAAGTTGTAATCTACGCTGCCATTTGATACTTCCCCTTTACCCGAGTGCTTTAGGATGTTTGAGATCAGGTAGGGGAACGTTATTGTTGACTAAAGGAACAGCTAACGTGGAACGCTGAAAGATGCTAGTGATTTCTAGCTCATCGGAAACAAGCCATCATTCATCACATTCCCATCTTCATTTGTCTAGAAGAAAGACCATCTTCATTTACTTCTGGTGTGCCTGAGAACTGAGCATTTTCTGGCAAAGGCTACCAGTACTGCAGTGTGCATAGATAATTGCATGAAATGTAATCAGAATCAATTATTCTGTACCATTCCAGTGTTTTTTCTCTCATAAACCGTTGATGGGGGAAATGACTGTAACCTACTACTAACCTCGCATTTGCAATTTAGTCTGACCTAATTATAGGGGAATGGAAGGAATGAGACAGCTAGAAGCATTGATAAAATGTGCAGAATATAAGCATATGTGACCATCTTGATGGGGGAAAATTGAGTACAGGTCAATCCTTAAGCAAATAGACCATGAGAAAAAAAGAAGCAGCTGTCATCTTGCAGGATGATTTGTTGGACTAGTTTAATACTCAAGGATGAGGCTTCCAAAACACATAAGACAATCAAAACTTAACATAAAATGGACTGATGTCTGTAGCCAGTGGTGATAAAGTTAAAAGTTAGGTGAGTAATAACTGGGTTACTTGTTGTCAAAGGCTTTCATGGCCGGAGTTCATTAGCTGTTTTAGATTTTCCGGGTTGTATGGCTGTGGTCTCGGCGAAACATCAGGTCCTACAATGCCAAGACCACAGCAGTACAACTCGGAAAATCCACAACAGCTAACTGGGTTATTGTACTGCAAATGGTTTGGGATTTAGATATAGAAACTAAACAAAATATAATCCGAGGCATGTTTCCAGAGCTCAGACCTGGCCAGTGATCTACTTGGCATGCAAGTGCTTGAAGGAACATTAGAGCGAACGGGGTGGGGGGGAGTACACCAAGACAGACACAACCATCTTCATGACTGCAGTAATTAAAGAAAAGGTAGCGATATGACTATGGCTGTCCTTATTTCCCACTGCCCCACCATACAGTCTGGCTGCATGAACTACATGCCAGTTCAGCAAAGGAGAGCGGTGTGCAGAAGTAAATGAGTTCTTTTGTTTCAAGTAAATGGTGAAATCCTTGTAATCGGGGGATTTCTGCAGCCGTCTTAACATCTCCAGTCCCCAGTTTGCAGAGCCACTGTTTAAAAGTATAAAATCAATACCGTCGAGGAATTAATTTATAAAAGTTTGCCATGTTTATTCATGTATAAAACAAAGTAGTAATGGATCCACAATAAATTATTGATGTGTTTCTAAAAGGTATTTATAGGAATACTATGGGAAGACAATCCCATCATAAAAATCTTCTTTTCAAACAGGGTATTTTAAAAAAAATCAACCAATACAACTGGCTTTAGTAGGTTTACACACAATAAAAATTTGAACAGAGACATTCAAAAAGCAAGACACTACTGCACTTAATTCTTCTTGATTTACTCAAATAAACCAGCTGGTTATGCAGTGTTTTTTAAATGTGAACTGAAGCATAGTCATGTGACAATTGCACAGAACCAGGAAAAAAAGGTTCCTTGGAGGATTCATCTAGTAACCTTTTTAATGCTAATAACTTCTGGCATGCAATGTAATTAGCATTTCTCTTGTTCTGCCAGTGGTCATGTACAGTATATATATATATTCCCTTTAACATACAAGCCTGTAAACAATATTGTGACATCATTTAGGCAACTGGACCAAGGCCTAAAAATAATATATAATGTACGCACACATAAAAGAAACAGTTCATGAAGACGTTTTCTTAATCACCGTCTTGCGGACTGGAGAGCTGATGCTTCGTTTGGAGATTCTGCTGGTGAAGCGGCTGATTCCGGGGGATCTCAGTTCAACAGCCTCAGTTTCATCCTGAACAGGTGTGAACTCTGGCTGAGCGATACGAGGCACTGGGTAGAAGGACTGGGGGTGAGGGTAGGACCCGTGAACTAGATAGGGCTGCTGTTCCCCATCGTAGAGGTCCTCGGGGTCATAGAGCTGGTAGGAGTTATGCGGCAACGGCACGACTGGGATATCTTCATCTGTTGGATCCCCATATCCACCTTAACCCACCACCAAGAACGGTCATATGGTTAATGTGAAGAGGAAAGGAAAACGAAAGCAATCATTAGGAACTTGGCCTGTTATAGAGCTCTACAGCCGTTGTTGACTTATGAAGCGATTAGCCTTTTCAAAAATTAAATAAGCATTGATGAAAGGGGACAGCCTTATTATTTTACAGCTTTAAGTTCAGTTAGTTGGAAACCATCACCAGCAATAGCAATGTGCTTGCTGTATTAGAAATGAATTCTCTTAATACCGGTGTGATTAGAAAATCCTCAAAATAACAGCACGAACAAAACAGCAGAAACGAAAGATGCCTGGGTCTCACTGATTCCAGTGGGAGGAAGATAAATAGCCACAACTCAAAAGAAAGTTAGTCGTACTTAAGTGTGATTTAAATTAAGGGATTTAAGGTACTTATAATCAGTTTGTCCCATTGCTTTCAGTAAGAGTTCAGCACAATTTCTCCTAGACTGGAACTTACTATCTCCCTGAAATCAGTGGTACCTAAAGGTCTTATGTTCAGTTGGGCTGTGCCTGTATATTTATTTGGGAGAGATTAAAACACTTGATAACCTTTTAAAAGCCCCTCCCCCCAATTTATGCCACAGAGTTTTAATATTTGCGATAATTGGAAGGACCAGCAATGCATCAAACTACAAGGCACTGAACTAGTTCTCTCCTGGTGGAGCTGATATGGGCTTGGTTGGGCATGGTCACCTCTGGAGAAAGTGTTTGCTCGGGGTGGGGAGGGTGTGTGGCTCAGTGGTAGAGCACACAGAAGAAGGTCCCATCTTTAGCATCTCCAGTTAAATAAGTCCATTGGTGACCCATCTCTACCAGAGGTCCTCAAGAACAGTACAGAGCTAGGTGGGCCAGTGGTCTGATTCACGATAAGGGATCTTCACATGTTGAATGTCTTTTAAAGAGAAAATGTATTTCAGTCTCTGCAAGGTAGAGCCGTATCATCCAAGATGCAGGATATACTGAAGCATAAGACTGTCACTAGTCTTGATCCACTTTGCCTAAAACTAGGGTGTCCCTGATTGCATGTATTTATTTACGGCACCTCTGCCCAGCTTTTCTACACACTGATAAATATATATACACATCTAATAAAAATATAATACCAATAATTAAACATACAGATACACAATTAAACCATAATGGTGATGCTCCTTGCCAGCCGCATCAAATGATGCCGCTAGCTATTCTAATGGGGTCAATGCTCCCTCTAAGCTGTGGGGTCTCGTGGAAAAAAAAAATCTACTTTATGATCTACCGGCATTAAAGTTGGGAGTGAGCGATTTGGCTGCTGCATAAATTAGTTTGCTCTGGAGCCATCCTTCAGGAACTAAGACAAAACTGTGAGCTAGAGGCTAAAAAACTGTGAGCTGGTTCACACTAGCTCAGCTTAGAGGGAACACCGGTTGGGGTGAATTTCTCGATGTGTACCTGCCTGCAGTATTAGCGCAGGAGCAGAAGTCTGGTTCTTGTGTATGGATCTTAATAAGGAGAGTGATTATGGGGGGGGGGGGTTAAACTCTTCAAGGACCTCACACAGCTGGGATAGCCATCGGTTGTGTCTAGCAAATCTGGCCAATGGAAGAAATGTGCCCAATGCCTGAACTTTAGCAAGAAACCTAAGACTACTAAGCAAGCAATCCTTGGTTAGTGGTGATCAGTAGTGCTGGTGGCAGGGCAGGGGGGAGCTCCAAAGTGCTTCAGTAGCCATTTGCGACCTCCGTCAAGCGAAAGAAAAAAACAAAAACTCTACCCGAATCAGTGTCTTTCACGTTCTGTATTGGTAGCCATTGTAAGGAAATGAACCTTTAAAGTTGGAAATGGGTGAGGGACGGGAGGGGAAAGAGGAAGAACAGGGAAGGGAGCACATGAACACAAACAAAAACATCCAGGTCAGTAAAACAAGAAAATCTCACAGGCCAATTTAGCCACACGTTAATCTTGCGTCTTACATTTGAAGTACCCCGAGCCGCGGATTTAATAACTGCATGGTTAAGTTTTTTATTTCATGCTTTGCCAGCCCAAACGTTTTTAAGATCCAGATGTCACGTGCCAAAGTTTCTGAATGGCTCTGTTTGTGCTAGAACACTGTTTTTCAAGCTCCTTACCCACAAGAAGCTCTTCTTTACGAAGTTGTCTGCCATGGCACTCCTGTTTAACAGAAAATTCAGAGGCATGGCCCGAGGTTCACGTGCAGTGAATTGGGTGTACACTTTCGGTTTCACCCAATGTCGTTATACCCTGCAGGGGGAAACTGGTAGAACTGGGGACAGCCATCTCATAAAGGATTCTGCCACCATCCCTGGTCTAGTAGAGGAAACTTTTGGCAAGAGATGTCCATGGGTCACAATTTGAAAAACACTGCCCTAGAACAATCGTTATTCCTTTATAGGTTTCCCATGCAGTGAAAATTCTTGAAGCCAACCTATTCTTTCAAAGCTGATGTTTCGTTCATTCGTGGCAACATCACTTCAGGGTATTCAAGTACGTTTGGTTAGTGGCAGTCATGCCCTCATGTCGTTTAAAAACATGCAGATAAGCAAGTCGGGTGGAGAGTTATTCTTCCCCACCTGAGGCAACCACAAATGTAAAACGCCAAGGCAGATATGTGGAAGATAGAGACAAATGAGACATGCAAGTACGATGGGATGGATGACTCAGACAACGTGACAATGCCACAGAAGTATGACACACAGAAAATGAAACATTTGATATAACAACGGATTTCACAACGACCAACTCAAATTGTCAGTGTTTTCCTTGATGGGCAAGACAACTGGGCATAGGTCCTGACCCTACTGTGGCCACACGTGCATATGAAAACAAGTTGTGGCGCATACAATTCCCCTGCCCAGTTCAGTAGTCGGGGCTGTGTAAACATCACCCTAGTGCTTATTAGCTGTTCGAAAAGCATTTGAATTTTTCCCTCCACCCCACCTGCTACCATTTCCCCCTGCTAGACAACCAATCAGACCCCAGTAAGTGGGGCTTCCTACATGCAGCCCTAGATCAGAGCCGTGGCAAATTCATCCACAGGTAGGGAGTGTTGAAGTAATCATCTCCAAAAAAATTTGCACAAATATCCTTTGCCACCATTGTGTCCTGTAATGCCGGTGCCTCTCCTGAATAGTTTCTGCATGTCAAAATATGTAGTGATAGCCACAGAAATAAACAGCTTTAAAAGGGGATTTGATAGATTCATGGAGCAGAAGTCTATCAGTGGCTACTAGCCATGGTGACTGAGGGGAACCTCCACATTCAGAGGCACTAATCTGAATCCCAGAGCCAGGAGGCAACACCAGGGGAAGGCATCAGCCTCTATGCCCTGTTGTTAGCCATCCAGAGGAACTGGTCGGCCACTGTGTGAGACTAGATGGACCATTGGTCTGAATAGTATGGGGGGAAAGTAGACAGAAGAATCAGCCACACTCTAACAACTGGACCGTGTTACCCCCGTAATGGGGCTTTCTTTGTTTGCTTTTGCTTGCTTTCTAAACTTGTAAATATAGTTGATGAGGTATGTCGCACAGAAAATAAGCATAAATCAGATTTCAGTCTCTATAAGGGGATACCTATCTATGAATGAGCTGGTGGACTAATGTTTTTTAGTTCCTGCAAATGGACTTGGGCTTGGATTCGAAGATCAAAGAGTGGAAATTTACATCTGATCACACATGAGTTGACTGGCAATTCCCAATCATTGCCACCTTCCTTCAAAATACGAAACCCCTTGTACCACACTGCAGAGCGTTCTGTCCACCTGAACCTCAGAAGTTGGGGGGGGGGGAGAACACAAGACACTGCGGTGGAAAGAGAAGCAGGGACACCAACTTCTCCCCCTATACATAGCACTGAAATGACTTTTCTCAACAAAAATTGAAAAATTAGTGCAGCATTACCTTTGAAGTCACTGCCAAGAAGCAGGGTAGAACTGGAGTAAGTTTTTTAAAAGTCCTCAAAAAGTATACTCACCTCCTGTTCCGTAACCAGCACAGGAAGAGGGGTCACAGTATCCGGGTTGCCCTGATGTACCCTGTGGTCCAGGAGCACCTGTGTGGCCAGTTGCGCCTCTTGGGCCTGGTGGGCCAGGAGGACCTGGGCTACCCGTTCGACTTTCACCTGGAGGTCCTACATGGAACCCAAAAGTAGCAGTCAGTGCTAAAGTGATCACCTGTAAAGCTCTACCGAAGTATGAGTAACTCTGAAGTGAGTTCACACATTTGCATTCCTTTTTGTTGTTGTTGTTCAGTCGCACAGTCGAATCCGACTCTTTGCGACCCCATGGACCAGATCACGCCAGGCCTTCCTGTCTTCCGCCGTCCTCTGAAGTTGGCTCAATTTCATGTTCGTTGCATCTATGACGCTGTCTAACCATCTCATCCTTTGCCGTCCCCGTCTTCTTTGACCTTCAATCTTTCCCAGCATCAGGGTCCTTGTCACCCAGCAACTCTCTGGCAATGCGCTTACGTGGCATCATAGACACACTTGATCGATGAAAAGGGGAAGTCTGATTAATACCGTGATCGTACTATTAGAAGAATGACCATTTCACACTGGAAGTATGGTTGCCACAGTTTTAAATACCACAAAATGAGAAGCAGAAAGGCACACCTACAAATATAATGTGAACTCGTGCCTGGGAAGGGGGCCAATCATGACTCCTAAAGCAAGTTTCTCACTTGTTCACAAATATGCCACCCCATTCCATCTCTGTTCCATAGGCTGCCTTCTCCATTTCATTTCTGGTTTAACTTGGAGATGTTCTAAAATTAATTCCAGAACTGGTGAATATAAAAATGACCAGCAGTCACCATTAAGCTTAGATGCAAAAAAACCCAGGATTGTAATGTGAGCACATGATTGGATCAGGATTCCTTTTTTGCACAGCGTTTTCGTCAATGGGCACGTGTTCTTGTGTGCATTGGTCATCAGCAAGCAAAACAATACCATGGTCCAAAATCTGTGTAGCACGTGCCCAAAGGATTTTATGAAGTTCAGAAACCAGAGACAAAAGAATAGTGAATCTTCAACACATTGGCTTCTCTTTACAAACAAGTTCAGGTAACTCAGAAGCTCAAGCTCCAAGGAGAAATTGAAATGGGAAGAATTTTGCACATCCCCAGTGCAATTGTGCCAAACACCCTTACTGTGTTAGAAACTTAGAAACATAGAGCTGGAAGGGATCCCAAGGGTCATGTAGTCCAACCCCCTGCACAATGCAGGAAATTCATATCTACCTCCCCTCTCCTGCACTTTCCCAGTGACCCCTGCTCAATGCCCACAGGAAGGCAAAAAAACTTCCAGGATCCCTGGACTAGTCTGGCTTGGAGGAAAATTCCTTCCTGATCCCAAAGTGTTAATGGATGTAAAATAGTCCTACGAAATGGGGGCACTCTGATCCGTTTACCTGCAGGCCCCGGGGGACCTCGAGGCCCTTGTGTTCCAACACCGGGACTACCTCTCTCTCCTTTTTCCCCTGGTAAACCTGTTCAAACAAAGAATAGAAATCAGAACAGATGGAAGGGGAAGGGGGGGGGAACTTGGCCAAGTGACTGGTTAATATTTTTCCATCTGCACCTTTTATTAATTAGACAAGGTTAGGGATAAATGGCTCTGTTGTCTCTTCTCACGAGAGGCTGCTTCTATAGCCAGCTTCCCGCTATAATGCTTCTTGCAAAGTATGTAATTACTATCATGTCACACTACTTCCGAAGGAAGGGCTTCTCAACACACGCATCAGGGACAAGTTCTGAATCCAGTAGATGAAAACTGCTGTTCTCAACATAATACCAGAACTTAATGAGCAGTAGGCTTAGAACAGATAAAAGGAAGTACTTCACCCAAAGAGTGGTGGCAGCTACAAGCATAAACAGCTTCAAGGGAGGATTGGATAAACATATGGAGCAGAGGTCCATCAGTGGCTATTCCTAGTGCACAGGTTCTCACATTTTTTTAAGTCTCTTCCTTCTTCTTCCAAAACAAGAAATTCATCACTGTTAAACCTTCCACGTTGTTACAAACTAATAAGACAAGGCAGAGATCAACCTGCTAAGCAATGCAATCGTTTTATCTTTTACTCTCTTCCATCAGCCAGAGAGTTGCAAGTTACTGCTAGGAAAACAATGCCAGATAGCCCAATGATTCTCTTTTACAGGTCAGTTGCTACAGATATATAACTCCCTTTTTATCCGTGGTTGCCACCAGTCAACAATTTTGGATACATTTATCTGCACAAGGGGAGAGTATTTCTTCCAAGTCACAAAAAGCCCACCTCAGTGGCAGCCCACAAAAAGATTCTACCCAGGGAGGGGTGACATCCTAAAGCCTTCTGCAAGAGAAAACGATGCAGATTGCCAAAGCCACTAAAGTAATGCATTCCAATTAATCCTCTTACAGTGTAATCCTAAACAGTGTTACACCCTTCTAAAGTCAGTGGGTTTAGAAAGGTGTGACTCTCTTTAGGACTCAACTATTAGGCACATTTTGCAAAAATGTGAATCCAGTACATTCCCTCTTTCCTTCTTCTATGAGTAGGTGCAGCATCAGGGTCAATGGATCCTTCTTCACATCCGTCCTTCTCCCCAGCTGCTTGCCCAAAGAAATCGATGGGCAATAGATTCAGGACAGAAAAAAATGAAATATTTATGCAATGAGTAGAATGCATAATTCACTGCCAGAAGATATAGTGATGGTCACAAGCATAGATGCTTATAAAGAGGGATTAGATAAATTCATGGACAATAAGTCTTGCTGGCTACTAGCCATGGTGACTAAAGGGAACTTCCGTGTTCAGAGAAATAGGCAGAATTGCCAAAATAGGCAGAAAACCTCTGAAATGCGTGGAGGAGGGGCTGTGGCTCAGTAGTAGAGCATCTGCTTGGCCTGTAGGTTCAATCCCTGGTATCTCCACTTAAAAGATCTGACAGTAGGTGATGTGAAAGTCCTCTGCCTGAGACCTTGGAAAGCCACTGCCAGTAGAAGACAATACTGACTTTGATGGACCAAGGGTCTGATTCAGTATAGGACAGTTTCATGTGTACATGTCAGGAGTAAACATGAGGGGAAGACCTTGGCCTCTGTGCCCTGTTGGCCAATCTTCCAGAACAACTGGTTGGCCACTGTCTAACAAAACGCTGGTCTAGATGGACCACTGCTCTGATCCAGCTGGGCTCTTTTTATGTTCTCATGCCCACAATGGGCACTGCATCTGACAGCCCCCCTCCCCGTAAATTAAAATTAGAAGAAGAAGAGATTGGATTTATACCCCGCCCTTCACTTGGAGTCTCAGAGCGGCTTACAAACTCCTTTCCCTTCCCCTCCCCACAACAGACACCCTGTGAGGAGGGTGGGGCTGAGAGAACTCTGACACAAAATGCTCTTTTTCAAGGACAGCTGTGCCAGAGCTTGTGACTGACCCAAGGTCACATCAGCAGGTCCAAGTGGAGGAGTGGGGAATCAAACCCGGTTCTTCCAGATTAGAGTCCGCGCACTTAACCACTACACCAAAATTGAATACATCTGATAGTAGACCTGATAGTAGGCCATGCTGGGTCTATTAAGCTCCCCGATCTGGAATATCTTCCCCTGCCCCAGACCTGAAATGGTTCCCCAACACTGCCCATCACATGTTGTGTGTTTCCCATAGCAGACCTCAGTGAAAACGGAGCTGCTGTAAAGCAGGGGCCTACTTTTAGTATAAAGGGGGGAAGATAATCAAACACACCGCAGGCATTGCAGGAGTCACTGTGGCCTGCCTTAGGCTCATTTGCTTTGCCTGGAGGGTCCGTGGGGCAAGCCACCCATCGCCAGAGGCCATACTAGGCAGGTTCTGCTGTCAGCAGTGTCAAGCCAAAGTTCTAGGCTATTCCAAGAGCACTGGCTTCGGAGTTTTCATGTGTGAGGTTTGGAAACAACAAGAAAAGCTGTGTTTCGTTTAGTTAATTTAAACCCATAAAATTCCAAGCTGATTCATGGCTGCCCCCCCTGCCCCCCCCACTTCGTTATTTTCCAGGCCTCCTCTAGTCATTTCACTTCCTTTCACTTCAGAGACTCATGATCTAAACCAATAGTTTTCCCTGTTCGTAAAAATTAAGTGTGCAGAGAATAGCAGCTGCTCTATCTGGGCTCTCAGCCTATGTGCGGTGCTTGGTTTCTTCCTTAGTGCATACGTTTGGCTTCATTAGCTTCATGATGATGACGATTGCTAATTAGTGGGTCATCGGTGGCTCTTCAGCTTTTTAATTGATTAATCTATTACATTTACATGCACTTGCATATGGCCAAAATCGTACCATCAGCGCCTTTTTGTAAAATTGCAGGACGTCTAACATTTTTTTATATATGGAGCCAGCAATCAACTCAATTGTTAAAGGAAAAGCTATCGTTTTCATTCTCTGTTACAGTAACAGGGTAATAATAATCCTCCAGCAATTCAAAATGTCCTCAAACAAACGATGCTCTTCGCTGTCAGCCTCGTCTACTAAAAACCAGCCGCCACCAATGAAGCAAGCAAAGCCTTAGTGCTTTAATATACCTATTAAGCCAAATTTAAGTGTGTAGTCCTCCTTATCAGAGCACTTAATCACTGTTACCCTCTCTCTATCACTTTCCTTGTGCTGTACCACAACTCTGGACAGTAATAGGATTCAGAACAATGCGCACTAGTCCTAGAGCCTCAACAATCGGAACTTCATGTGCCCATTCAGATTTTCTGAACTTTCACATCTCAAGAAAAATTCAAGAGGCCTTATAGGGCATGCACAGCTTACTGCACTGTGGTTTAAAGATCCTTGGGTGACCAGGAGGGAAGGGACATCTCCTGCCCTGGATCCATGGTGGAGGTGCCCATGTAGGATGCCAGTCCCCCAAATCCACCACCAGTGATCACTATCTCCCCTTGCCTCATTGTACAGCTTTATTCTAGAACTTCCCATAGTTGGAGAAAATGCAACAATCTCCTCTCCCACTTTGTACAATATTTTCATATAGACTCTCAAGTTTATGTTAAGCTCCCTCCCCACTGGAGTACCCTTTCCCCAACCCACGAATACAGACACTGGAATCTTTTTCTAAATGAAAGGGGGAAATGACAGAGAAAGGCAGCAGTCATCTTCATTTTCTGTTTATCCGTTTTCTAATATATTTATTCTTGGGATGCATTTGCAGCCTCATTTGGAATACTATGTACAGTTCTGGTCACCATATCTCAACAAGGACACGGCAGAGCTGGAAGAAGTACAGAAGAGGGCAACTAAGATGATTAGGGGGTTGAAGCACCTATGAGGAAAGGCTGAAGAGTCTGGGACTTTTCAAGTTTAGAAAAGAGATGACTAAAGGGGGGACATTATTTGTTGTTGTTCAGTCACACAGTTGAGTCCGAGTCTTTGCGACCCCATGGACCAGATCAAGCCAGGCCTCCTGTCTTCCGCCGTCCTCTGAAGTTTGCTCAATTTCATGTTCGTTGCATCGATGACACTGTCTAACCATCTCATCCTTTGCCGTCCCCGTCTTCTTTGACCTTCAATCTTTCCCAGCATCAGGGTCTTCTCCAGTGAGTGCTCCCTTCTCATTTGGTGGCCAAAGTATTTGAGCTTCAGTTTCATTATCTGGCCTTCCAGGGAACAGTCAGGGTTGATTACTTTTAGGATTGACTGATTTGATCTTCTTGCAGTCCAAGGGACTCTCAAGAGTCTTCTCCAGCACCATAGTTCAAAAGAATCTATTCTTCGGCACTCGGCCTTCCTTATAGTCCAACTCTCGCAGCCATACATGACTACTGGGAATGCCATTGCTTTGACCATGCGGACTTTTGTTGGCAGGGTGATGTCTCTACTTTTTATCATGCTGTTTAGGTTCGCCATCGCTTTCCTCCCAAGGAGCAGGCGTCTTTTAATTTCATGGCTGCAGTCACAGTCTGCGGTGATCTGGGAACCATCTCATCCTTTGCCGTCCCCGTCTTCTTTGGCCTTCAATCTTTCCCAGCATCAGGGTCTTCTCCAGTGAGTGCTCCCTTCTCATTTGGTGGCCAAAGTATTTGAGCTTCAGTTTCATTATCTGGCCTTCCAGGGAACAGTCAGGGTTGATTACTTTTAGGATTGACTGATTTGATCTTCTTGCAGTCCAAGGGACTCTCAAGAGTCTTCTCCAGCACCATAGTTCAAAAGAATCTATTCTTCGGCACTCGGCCTTCCTTATAGTCCAACTCTCGCAGCCATACATGACTACTGGGAATGCCATTGCTTTGACCATGCGGACTTTTGTTGGCAGGGTGATGTCTCTACTTTTTATCATGCTGTTTAGGTTCGCCATCGCTTTCCTCCCAGGGAGCAGGCGTCTTTTAATTTCATGGCTGCTTTCACAGTCTGCGATGATCTGGGATCCCAGGAACGTGATGTCTGACACTACTTCCACGACTTCCCCTTCTATTTGCCAAGGAGTGATGGGGCTGGATGCCATGATCTTAGTTTTTTTGATGTTGAGCTTCAA